GCGGCCAACGCATCCTGCACATGCAGCCACTTTCTTTTGCTCTGTTATCTATGATGCCCTTGCTGAACCATCAAGCTGAGAATGATGGGAACTGCAGTCCAAGCCATCTGGTGGTTGGTTGAAGTACACCAGACAGCCGAGAAGGACACTGTAAAGGATGAGAACACAATGGAAGGCTTGCTGTCAGCGCATTTTCCAGCTCTGTTGGCACAGCTACGCTGCTCCAGCAGCCCTGACTGAGGGGAGCGATTGCAGAATCGGGGGGTCGGTCTTCCTCCCTCGAGGTGGCCAGGGCCTGGTGGAGGCGCCCCAGACGAGACTGCTGCTGCTCGTTGCCCGAGTACGACCAGGCGGCTTCACGCAGACAGGCAAGATTGCAAGATTGCGCGAGGATATGGGGACACCTTGTGGCGAAGCACAGTTTCGACTTCGCAACACACTGGCGCGCGATCGCAGCTTGCTTTGGCCCTTCAGCCCTCAGCTGGAGCCGACGGTTCACTCGGAATGCCCCTGCAAGGGCCTGTCATTGTGGTGATGGTGGTGATCACTGCCGTGTATGTACAGCCCGCCTTTGAGGTGGCTTGCCAGGTTCTCTCCTCTCCATGTGATGCTTGCAGCGAGAACCCTGCTCAGGGATGGCCCTGTGAGGAACATCAAGGGACAGAGTGATGCTTTCTCACGGGGGGGGGGGGGGGGCGTTCCCAGGCCAGCCTACAGCCTGGCGATTCACAGAAGGAATTTTGCTTGTATCAGAATTGGGAAGAGAAGGAATGTGACCAGCTTCCCTGGAATGGTTTTAGGTTCCCAGCTGGCCCTCATCTCACAAAATGGCTTTACACTTGTACCTGCATTAGCCTGCAATGGAGGGCACGATGGTTCAAAGATCAGGGCTTCAAACAACTGTTTAAAGGGGACATTCTCTAGAGACAAATACCAAGTTCTGCACCTGAGAAAAAGAACCCAAACGCATCATTCCAAGACGGAGAATACTTGGCCCAAGAGGGCTGCAGGTGAGAAGGATCCTGGAAATGCTGTCGATCACAAGCCACGTGATCTGGCTGCAGAAAGGGCGAATGCTATTTTGGGCTGCATTAAGAGAAGTCTCGCTTCCAAACCTGTGAAGTGCTAGTGCCTCTTTTCTCAGCATTGGTCAGAGCCCATCTGGAGTCCCGCATCCAGTTCAGGGCACCAGAGGTTAAGGAGGATGCAGACAGGCTGGGAAGGGTGCAGGGGAGGGCAAGAGGGATGATCCGGGGACAGGAAACAAAGCCCTGTGAGGAGTGATGGCAAGAACTGGGCATGTTTATCCCCGAGAAGAGAAGACTGAGAGGGGGATAGGAGAGCCCTGTACATGTACCTGAGAGGCTGCTGCACAGAGAAGGACCAGCATCTCTTCACAGATTAATGGGCCCAAGTTCCAGGAAGCCAGATTCCTGCTGGACATCAGGAAAGACTTCCTGTCTACAGTGTGGCAAAAGAACCAGTCACCTCTGCGGGTGGCGGCCCCCCCCCCCCCAAGGCATTCTTGATGCAACTGGACAGACTTTGTCAGGGGTGCTTGAGCTGGCGTCCTGGGCAGCGCAGGGGTCGGACGCGGTGGCCTTCCCGGCCCCTCGCAGCTCTACTGCTCTGTGATTCCATGAGGCCCACGGCCGCCCACCTCTGTCCCACTCTTCTCGTGCCACCCGCACCCTGGCTGTGGGCCCCGAGATGTCCGAGCGGCTCTCTGGCGTGTCTCTTAAGCTCTGGAGAGAGCCTGGGAGCCAACCGGCCTCTTTGTCTCTGGTTGCTAGGCTCTTCCAACACAATCGCTGTCTTGGGACCGGTATCCGTAATTACTTTCGGGCTGCTTCTGCACTCCAGGTGAAATCCACAGAGAAAAGGCGCTTCCCAGGGGATCCTGGGAATCCTCTTCTTGGGCTCCCCGATTGCAAGGAAAGCCTGTCCAAACCGCGCTATAGCTTGAACTTGGTCGAGCGGCAGCAACAGTGCAGACAAAGCTGCGGTGCTCAAGTCGGATTGTCCAGGACATGGGGGATTCGTTGCTTTTCATCGATGAACAAGCGCTTTCCACTTCAATGGACCAGGGCACGGGACTGTTGCGGAACCACACTCTCTGCAAAAGCCTCATCTGCTGCTCAAAATGCTTCCCTGCACTGTGTGGGACACCCAGCGCTCAGGGCCTGCAGCTTCCCTGGTGGCTGGTGCTTCATTTGCTAGACTGTGCCATTGTCAGTACCTCAAAAAAGCTGGTTTTGCGTCTCCCTCCCTGCCTTTTCTTAGAAGAGGCCTGCAACTGCCTCGCTTTCAGGAAGGCCATTCCCAGCATTGGCAAGTTACCTTCATCCCTGCATTTTCCCTACTGTTTTGTTACTGCTTAAAAAAAGAAAAGAAAAAAAAAAAGAAATCCATTCTTGGCTGCAACATCTTACAATCTGCATCTGCGAAGAGGAGAGTCCAGCAAGAAGAGCACCTGCCTCATTGCTGAACTGTCACCAGCCAACATAACTGGGAGAAGATGAAAAATCCCCAGACACACAATATTATACAGTAGTGTAAAATCAGTTTGCATACCGCATCTCAACAGGCGGCAGACTGCAGGGGTCCCTGGAAGAGGACCAGAGTGAAGAGGCTTGGCCCGCACCGTTTTAAGCCCTGCGTCAGGCTTGAAGACAGGCGGGCAGCGCAAGTGGCCAGACCGTGTACAATACGTGTGCGCAGAACAACCCATTACAACCTATCAAAACACGTAAAAGCTCAAAAGCGGCCCTATAGGAGCAACACCCCGTTGCTCTCGCTCCCCCGCACTGCCCAGAGCGATCCTCCCGCAGGGCCTCCTCGGGTGCAGGCGAGAGGCGGGGGGGGTGCCCACCGCAGGGTCTCGCAGGCTCTCGGGCCTCCCGGGTGAGTCGCGCCCTCCCCTCGCCCTGCTCCTCCAGCCGCACAGCTTGCTCTCCCGCTGGTTCCGCGGTGGAGGTGCGCTTCTCAAGTGCGGGGCGGCAGGTGAAGGCGGGAGGCGGATGTGGCCCGTGCCCCGTGGGGCGGAGGCGAGTGCCCCGGCTCCACAGAGGGTCCGGGCCAGGGGGCCAGCTGCTCTGTCGGCTGGGGCCTGGGCGGGGGGCGCTCAGAGCCCACCAGAGTCCCCTGGAATGGCCGAGCGGGGTGGGTGCTCTGGGCATTCCCTGGAGCGGGCAGGGGAAGGCTGCCCCGGCTGGAGGACGCCTGGACGCAGGAGCCGGATCCCTCCGGAAAGCCTCTTGCTGGCCCAAAGGTGTGTGGGGCCCCTCCGTCCACCTCCGGCCCAGCTGGACCGAACCACGCCTTTGGCCCAGCGTCCCTGAGCAAGGCCGGGTCAGCCGCACTGGCCCACTTCCCCCATCGCAGAGGACGTCCTCTCTCTTGCTCCCCACTCTGTTTTGCTCCCCTGTCCCACATCTTGGGGCGGTGGGGGGACTGCAATGGGGTGTCCATGCACAACAGAACGAACGAGGCCCTCCTGAGCCGGGGCACCTCCTCGCTCCCACTGAGGGCTCCCACAGAGGGGCACCGGGACCCATGCTGCTGCTGTGGAGGCTCTGAAGGAAACAGTTCCAAGAGTCTGGAACAGGCACGACAAGTTCTGTGCCGTGCACCACCCATCCAGTGCGGTGTGTCAACACAGGTTTCTGCTTGAGCGTTGCTCCACAGAGCTCCATTAGTCCAGTAAGGTAGTGGCCTTTCTCATGGCAACCCTCTCCGGACAACACAACAGAAACTGGTGCGCCGTTCTGAGCCCAGCCATCCCTGGGCTTTTTGTTTCTTGCTCCTTCAGACCTCGGGCACCTGGCCTGGTCCTGTGCTCAGAAGCAAGCACCGCTGAGCCCAAAAGGATTCCTTTCAGGTGAGGTTGCTCCTGGTCGTGGGTGTTCCTGGGATTCTCAGTGTTTCCTGGGATTTATTTCTTACATGGGAATGAGGCAACACCTACAGAGAAGCCGTTGCTCGCTTCTGTTTTTACCGAATCCGGCACTTTTCTTGCATCCACTTGGTATTTTCGCCCCGAATGCTGCCTTGAGAGGCTTCTACTCTGAATGGAGGCTTCACTTGAAAAAGGAAGAGAAGTGAGACCGTTCCCAGTGGGTGCCTGGTGGCCGAGCCTGGACTTTCCATGGCAGTCTGGAAAAGCGTCTCACCGAGACTGGCTGATCATGGTCAACCCACCGCAGCTTGTTCTGTAACTGCTGCTGCAACTTGATTGCATTCTGCGCATCGTAAAGGCTCCAGGCACTCCTTTAATACTAGTAAGATTCCATGGTGGAATGTATGTTTCTGTTCAGCATCCTTAAGTATAAACTGCTGCAATTTGGCTTAATTTTCCCCATATGGCAATGGCCTTGGTGAGCTGCAGGGCTGATCCGGAGTGTTGTGGGCCACTTGCAAGAGGGAGGGTCTTTCAGGACTTATGTTTCCCGAGAAGCAGGGCACTGGCTGCGTGCTGCATGTCTTTCATTAAAGGTTTACTTACATTCAGTTCAGGGTGGGGGCCCCACCTTTCGCTGCTCAGCAGACCCCCCCCCCCTCAGCTTGTCCTCGGCTCCCCAGGGATGGTGGAGATCCTCAGCCAGCTTCCCTCTCCCTCTTCTGTTCAAACTCTCCCACCTGCTTCCACTCTGGCCTGGGAGGACCAAACCCATCAATTCAGGCTCACAGATATATCAATTAAAATATTATACAATAAAAATATTGTATAATATTTGTATTCTGGAGCTGAGCCCAGCCTCTGAACCTGTCCAGCCCAGCAAAGTTCTTCTGCCAGTTTAAGCTGAGCCTTTCTTGGGCGATGCTTCCCCAAGAGAAACAGCCTGGGATGCTGGCCGTGCCAGGGCTTTGTGTCTGCCCTCCGAAGGTGCCGGCCAGTCTTCAAAACCTTTGCTCAGAGGGACCGGGAGAGGGGCTCCCACTCCGAGCTCGCCATTTTTCTCTGTGCAGTGTCACGGGGCCGGCGGGGGGCCCAAGGCAGCATGGCGGAGGGGGAGCCGTCGAGGCGCTGGGAGGCGAAGAGGCGGGATGCCAGGCGGGCGGAGGCCCGGCTCAGCCACGGACTGCGCAGCTTGGAGGAGGCCCAGCTCTCCTACCTGAACTCGCTCGTCAAGGAACAGAAGCGGCTCGAGGAGGAGCTCCAGAAGCTGCGGAGAAGTGAGGACTGTTTCGTCTCGCCTTTGCTCAGGGCAGAACCAGGCTATGATCACTAGATTGCTCTGCAGAATTTGGCCCATGCCATTCCTTCAGGAAGGAAGGCCCCGGGGCCAGAGGCTTCCTGATTCCGGGCTCCAGGAGTGTTTGCTTATCTTGGTAGGAATTCCCGTCTGCGTGCATCTTTGGGATGCAGCACGGGGTCACTCCTGATTGCCAGGAGTCGTGGGCAGCCAGGCGCACACGGTCAAGAAGGCTCATCGCCGTGCCTGCATGCGTGGGTACACATGCATGCAATTCTTTTCTCTGCCATGGGGAGCCAAAGGTTTTCCTTCAAAGTACTGAAAATGGCTGGCCGACGGGTCGCGTGTCTCCTGCGCATGCTCTCCAAAGCTTCTGTCTGGGGCGTTTAATTCAGCTGTTTGGGACCCACGATGGTGTTTGTTTCCCCGCAGCCCAGTCCAGGAAGGAGCGCTTCGTGGGCCCCGGGCATCCTAGCGAGGGAAGGGCGCTCCCTTCGCTGCCACCGCAGGCCAGGCGAGACGCCAGCAGCTCCCAAGGCGCAGCACTGCGGTAAGGATCGCGCTGCAGAGCCCTGAATGTGGGCAGGCCTCCAGGAAACGGGCAGCTCGCCGGTTCTGCACAAGCCCTGGGCTTTCATGCCGGCCGGGTCCGTGGCCAGAAGGGCCGTGGCAGGGGTGAGGGTCACCCCATCCGGCGGCCTCCTGCCAGGCCAGAGCGGGAAGGACCCCCATCAAGAAACGGAGGAAACCCCTCCGGGTGGCTTTCTCTTCCTAGGGGTGGTCGGATCAAGCAGCATTTCATGCTTCCTTCAGAAAGGGGCCTCCTGAGAGAAGCTCGCCACGGCCGGGACCCTTCCCCTTCCCCAAGCACCCAGAACTGTCGCGATTCCGAGGGGTGCTATTGCCTCCTTCCCCGATTAGCTCCGTGCCGGCTGCAAGCGGGCAGCAACTTTTGCCCCTGCCCCGGGGAAGAGATGAGCTGAGCATCTCACAAGCTTCATGTGACCTTGACTCGGGTGCCGTGTTCTGTTACTCCGTATTATTTCAAGCTATGTTGGTCGTAGTGGGTTACCAATGCACTGGAGGAACTGAGCTCCCCACATCCATGCTCCGATGCCCCAAGCATTTTCTTCCCCTAAAAAAGAGGCTTCCGTTTTTCTACCTTATTCTCAGGACCCACTTGCATTTCCGTTGGTCTTCTTTGGGCTCGCCGTGGGCATTGTACATGTGGCACCTCTACCGGTCCTGAGCCTTCCTGGCTGCCCACATTTCTCAAGCTCAAAAGGCGGTGTGGGCAGGGCGGGGAGGGCACTGCTGCATGGCAGTGTTCCCTGGGCTTTAGCTGAAGCGTGGGCAGCCAAGTGGGCTGCGGGTGGCCAGACAGAGGGTCGCGCAATGAAATGCACGGCACTTGCGCATTACTGGGCCATCTCAGAGCCCCACCCGCAGCCATGAGAATTTCTCCCAAATGCAACATTTTAAGCAGCATTTTCTATTGAATTCCACAAGAACGCTCAGGAGAAACGTGGACACTCTCCGGCGTGGCACCTTTCGCCCCTTAGCGGCGCCTGGCTTCCCAGGCCATCTGATGGTGGCACGAACAGTAAACATGCGCTTTGTGGAAGGGTGTTTTGGCAAGGCTGCATGGCTACTTCTTCTTTTCTAGATCGAGGAGGAGAGCCTTGTCCGGGGCAGAAGGACTGCCAAGGGCAGGCTGGTTGTCCTTGGATCTCCAGGCACACAACAGTGACGTCTTGGGCTGTGCTGAGGGCAGAGAGGGGCTCTGGCCACCCTTGGAGGCTGAAGATCAAAGCACTGCGGGCGACACAGGCATGGCCAGCCTGAAGCACTCTGTTGCCAGGCAGCTGAGCATTTCGGCAGAGCCGGTGCCGGAAACGGAAAGCGACTGCACAGAGGAGGGGGGGAGGGGGCCCCCAAGGGAAGATCCTGAGGATGCTCCAGCCAGCACTCCCCGCATTGCCACCAGGTTTGTGAATCTCCCAGAGAAGCAAAGTCCTTCCCATGGTCACGAAAGGCCAATTATGGATCCGGAGGCCTATGCTGCAGATGGACGCCTCCGGACCATGTACAGCAGGCCCAATTTCCTCAAGCTGTATGCTGAAGTCAGGAAGGCCCGCTACCTCCGGCACAAGAGCGTTCCAGCCTGGGAAAAGGAGCTCAGCCTGCAGGATATTTTTGGGCACAATACCACGAAGCTTTCCCCCGCGGAGCATGCTGCACCAAAACCAAAGCCCTAAACCAGCGGTGGGCAACGCATGGCCCTCCAGGTGTTTTGGCCTACAGCTCCCAGCAACCCTAGCTAGCAGAGCCAGCAATGAGAGAGCATAGAGTTACACGCCAATAAACCTTAGAGGGCACCACAGGTTGTCCACCTTCTCTTGAATGGAAGAACTTTTGGACTAGTACAGGAAGTGCAGGCCTTGCGAATGCTCAGGCATCAAGACCATGGGTCCTCAAACAGCGGCCTGCAGGCTGGATCCGGCCCGCCTCAGAGGTTCTGGACTCCCGTGCCCACTGCCTGCCTCGCCGTGCGTGTGCGGCAAGGGGGCAGCTTGCTCGCTCGGAGATCTCCAAGCAAGCAAGCCACTGCCTCGCCGTGCGCACCTGCCGCCCCTGCGCCCACAGGCACCCCCGCCTCACCAGCCCGCGCCCGCGGGCACCACCGCCTTTCAACCGGCCCCATTGAAAAAGTCTGAGGACCCCTGATCTAGACTATCGATCACCGTGGAGGACCTGAGACTGTGGACTTTATCACGCCCCTGATGGGAACCCAAACTCATGGGAAGACAAAGCAGGAAGGCCCTGGGACCACGGAGGACAGGTGTGGAGAGGGCATCCTGAGGGTGCCCAAAAATGAAGCTGCTTTTGGCCAAATGTCAACGTACACCTCTCTGTGGGCACTACGAATAAGCACAGTAAGCACAGACACGTGGTAGCCAGTCCTTGGACTATTTGGCGACTTGAAAACTGCGCAGTGCGCTTTTTAAGGCTGGTATTTCATCTGCGTGAGATCAGGCTGTTTTAAACACCTGTTTGGTTTAGTTCTCTTATCTGCACATTTTGCCATATTTTTATAGTAGGGTTGGATAAGCTTTTAAGAGACTTATCTTTAAAAAAAATCTGGATACCTTAATGCAGCCTTCTTGGTTTTGGGGCTTCCCAGTGGTTTTAGGTTACAACCCTTGTCCCCTCTGACCACTGGCCGGGCTGGCTGGGGCTGATGGGAGCTGTAGTGTAAAACATCTGCAAGGCACTAGTTCAGAGAAGGCGAATGATTACATTTACATACTGTACTCTTATAATAGCATCCTGTTATATAACACACTTACTATGATTGGTGGAACTCAAGAAATATTTCTGAACACTGGTAAGTGAAGTCCCACTATTAGTGTAGCCAAAGGTACATGGCACCACAGCTTGGCCTAATTTTTACTCGATGGGAATTCCATTCCGACGATGATGAAATGGCTGCCCTGGGTATGGATGACCAGAGAAGCCATGGTGACGCCTGGAAACCAGACAACCGACCGCGGAGAGGGATGGTTTCGCTGGGAATCCTGTACTGGAAAGGGGATTCGACCCAATGGCCTTCTGGCTCCTTCCAGCTCTACTCTTCCGATTCCCTCCATAATTTTGGAAATCTAATCCCACCACGGAGGAACTCCAGGATTGGATCCATACGGCAGGCCCACCACGGCAAGATTTCGCCATGGCTCCTTGTGCTGTGCGCAAAACCACCCGGTGCTGGTTCTCTTTCTCAGCACATCTGCAGGAACCAGGGGGGCTTGTGCGCCCCTCTGCCGCTGCCCCACCTGGCCCCGTGACATTGGGCCGGGGAGGCGCACCCCCAGCAAGGAAGCATGTTGAGACAGAGGGTTCGCAGCTCCTGCTTTAGCTCACCCACAGGCCGAGTGCAAGAAATGCTTGAGCCACGTGTGCCTTTCCAGCGAACACTCTGCCACATAGGCATCGGTCCAGGCGGTTCCCCCACTGCCGCCGTGCGCTCCCCTTCTCCAGGATCCAGGCTCACATTGCCTGGCACTCAAAGGCCTTGACATGATGGGAGAGGAGTCCACTTCCCAGGTTACAGCTGCCTCTGGCAAAGCTCAGCTCGCATTCTCTGTTACGAGGCGAGTCTGGCTGCGAGGACCCCTCTGTTCAGTGTGAAGAGCCACTTTGGACGTCACAAACCTGAAGACAACCAAGGCAGGGCCGCTCTGTGGGGCTGCGTCCTTGCCCCCGCTGCCACTTCCTTTTCATGCACTGCGCTAGCGTCTCAGGGGTGCCAGGCAACATGAGCAGGAGACAGTCGCTGCAATGCACTCGACAGTTTGGGAAACGGGACGAGGCTAATTAGATTTTGCCACGAATCTGAGAAATGCCAGTTTCCAGTGACCACTTTTTCCTCCGGTTCCGGAGTCTGTCTGGGTCTGAGGATGCGAGAGAGCCCACGGTGACAATATCAGACCTGGTCCATGCCTGGGGGGGAGTCTGTGGTCCCAAGCCCTGGGGTGGAAGGGGTGGGGCAGTGGTGGCGGCAGGAGAATGCTCTCGAGGAAGCCACTGTATCCTGGGCACGTGCAAAGGGGCCTCTTTCTGTATCCCCCCTGCCCCCCAGTGATGCAATGTGCTCCGTCAAGAACAGCCGCCTCCGCTCTCGGGGCTTTCGGAAAGGTTCCCGAGATGGGCCTTTTCAGCTTGGCCTTGAAGCATACAAACGTGAAAGTATAAATTGTGTGTCATTTAAAATGCTTTAATGCTACAGTAAGCGGTTGAAATGGCTGCTCATGGGCCCAAGAGCTTATGAGCAGACAAGGCAGTAAATAATGCAAACAATAAAAGTATATAAAAGTACCTAAATAGTCAAAGCAACACTTTGAATTTGTGTTCAGCTTTCTGCTGTCTCCCAGATTTTGCATTTCCGTTGCCTCAACTCAAAATACTATTGCGACAGGAACAAAGTTAGTGGTCTCTCTAAAGATACACAGTACTTAGAACTCCCTTCACTCGCTGAAAGGCTACAAGAAATTGCGGATCACCAAAGAGCAAGAACAACCGAATTCACTCTGTGGGCCTACTCTGGATCAGAAACATCTACGATTGCAGTGCAAGCCAGCCAAAAAGACTCCCATCGTTTCAGGAAGCACAAATTGATGCGAGGACTAAAATGGTACGGGGACTGCAAGTGGTGTAACGAACGGGGCCCTAAAACCCTGGTGAGGCGAGAGGCTGGCACCATTGGATGCGGACCGCTAGCCAGCCTGGAGCGGCATCCTTCCAGCGCCCCCGCTCAGGGCAAGGGTGTGTGGCTGATCGGCGGGGGCGGGGGGGGGCAGTTAGGGATTGAAACGGTATTGCTGTGGATGAGAGGACCATTCCTACAACCCTCGGAAAGGGAGGCAGCATTTGGGAGGGGTCAAGGAGTGTTCACGGACGAAGGAACCGCGCTTACTAGGATGGAGTGGTGGATTAAGGCTACGGCCTGGGGAGGGTCTGGGTGCTTCTGAAAGACCGAGGTGGAGGGTGCTCACCCCGGACCGGGGGAAAACAGTGGATTAAGCAGCGTTGCAGCTCACCGGGGCACGCAGGCAACGAAAACCAGACCGAGGGGCCCTCCAGGCGTGTGGGAGCGGAGACTACATGATCGGGTGTCTTGGGTTCGTTCAGCACTCCGGCCCCGTGATACCCTGGTCAGGCACTTCAGAGAGTTTTGCTCTACAAAGGCAACCTGGGGGTGGGGGGGATCCACACTGGCCCAAGTGGAAGACACGTTTTGCCACCGAGAAAGCACTGCTTTGGTTTTGCTATTTTTTATGTTGTGGGCCATTGTTCTTGGCTATGACTTGCTTCTCTAGTTCCAAAATCTTCTCATAAAATTTCTCAGCCATGTCTTCCGTGAGATCCATCTGAAAGGGAGAATGCAGCTGTGATTGGGGAAGGGGGTGGGGAGGTACAGGAGACATTTAGCCTCGCCCCACTGCCTCAATTTTCACTTACTAATCAAAGATGGGTTTGATTCTCCAGATTTCAATGCATAGCCTAACCTTTTCATGTAAAAATGAGTGGCGGGCTCCTCCTTGCTTGAGGAGCGAGTAATCCCTGCAGGCATGTTTGGTATGCCTCCCCCGTGGATGAGGCAGGAGGCGACCAGGCGAAGAGAGCAGTGCGATGCATCCGAGCTCAGAGGCGTGGCGGGCCAGCCGCTCACCCGCAGCATGGGAAGCCCTCTGCCCGGGCCCCGTGCATGTTCTGCAGCAATCCAGGTTGAAATAGCAGCAAAGTCCTTTTGGGAAGGCCGGGATGAATGTGGACCGCATGCCTTAAACCCAGCTGAGGGTTTCAGAGCTGCAGCTGAGCTAATACATGCCTGTCTGTGTGAAAGAGCAGCCACTGTGGCTGGTCAAAGTGCCTTTTAATTCCACTTGTGGATGGCCAGCCCCAGGTGCCTCAGCAAACCCTGATCCCCATGGAAGGGCTAACCGGTTCCTCACAAGCCGTCAAACCACACTGGCTACTTATGCAAGACTGCAGGTCACATCTTCCCTTAATACCACTTTTTTCAGCATGCGTTTTGTTTTTTTAAATAGCTGATTAAAAGTTAAAGTCTGTTTATTATACTGGTGTGTCCTGAAAATGCAATTAAAACCAAACTCCTCTCGGATAAAAGTAACAGTGATCATGTGATCTCGGGTTCGGGTGAGGCTCTGGCCCACAGGGCCGGTGTGTGGCCTGAGTTTGGGAACCGCAGGGCTGGTGGGGGGGGGGGGCTGAGGCCAGGCGCAGCCGCTGCCTGGAGTTGCACAGGTGCAGGAGGGGCCCACGCAGACCGCCCCCACGCCGTGCAAAGCTCCTCACCCACGCGGGGACACGCATGTGAGCTCTGCTCCCGTGGGGTTTGCCCCACCGGGACTGAACAGCCCCCCCCCCGAGCCATCTGAGCGGTTTCCCCTCGCTTTCGCAGCGCTGCGCCCCAGGTCACTTCTATACAGGCTCCCCGAGCCCCTTGGCCCCCAGAGAGAACCCGCTCACGCCAGGAGCTTCAGCTGTGGGGCGCTATAAAGTAAAATTGGTTACAGCTCTGCTTAACATGGAGGGGACTTTCCTTGATAAGAATGCTTGTGCCCAGTGCTCTGGGGAAATGAAGCACCCCCCACAAAAACAGGGACGGGTGAGCACAGCAAGGAAGATTTTACAGTGCCAGTCTCAGCCTGTCCAGTCAATAAAGCACCTGTTGAGAAAGGGCTGTACTTCCCCCTAGAGTCAGCTGTCCTTCGTGGCGCCCCAAACCCGCCACCTGAGGGAGCGGCCCTGCTTCAGTTAGGACAACCCGGTCGCTGGTGGCATGGCACCCGGTGCCCCCACGCCTTGAGAGGTGCACCATTCACTCAGAGAGGGAGAGAGGGAGAGAGGGGGAGAGAGAGAGAGAGAGAGACAGAGAGAGAGACAGAGAGTTACCTTGCGGGGCTCCACGTACGTCTTGCCCAGGAACGTGGTGCAGCTGTGATACTTCACCAGGGGGTCCAGCGACTCCGGCTTCTGCTTGAACAGCCAGATCTAGAAAGAAACCGCAGCAGCTGTCATGCCCTGTGCGTGTCTTTCCGGACAGGCCCTGCCAGTGCAAAGTCCTCCCCTGGGCTTAGTCCGGAGCTGAACAGACGAGAAATAAAGACAAGTCCACGCTGAACGGCAGGCCGGCTGCCAACGAGAACCAGGAGCTGTGTACACAAAGCAGGGGGCGCAGGGAGGAGTGGACCCGGACCGATAAGAGGACACAAACGGGTACAGTTGAGGATGGAGGACATGCTGACCTGGCAGAAGCTCAGAAATGCCAGTTTCTTTAGTTAAAACATGCCTTGCCTCTCTGTCCTGGACCAGCAGCAAGAGCAGAAGGATGAACGGGCAAAATAGGGAAATTCCGTCCCTTTCTGCCACCCATTTTCTATGTTCTTTTTTGCTGCCACAAGGTGGAGTTTTTCTTCTGTTCCACTGAACCAGGCTTAAAACTTTCCGGCACTCAGATACCTGCTTTATGTAATAAAGGGGGCAGCTTTTAGATGTGAGAAAGGCGATCCAAAAAGAGAAGAGACTGCGAAGTTGGATGTCTACTGAAGAAAACTGGACAAGGTTTAAAATCTGAAGAGGCGCACGTATACGGCCACCCCATATGAGCAGAAGGACAGCAGAACACCCCGGGCTAAGCGCATCCAGGTAAGCTAAATCAATTATGAGGTCCCTTATCCAAGCAGGATCATGCCCCCGCAGGCCCAGGATTCCTCCTCTGCCATCTATCCTCGATCATTTCCGATTTCTGCTGCTTAATTCTAACTACGTGGGCGAAACTTGCGCTTCCTCGAGGAAAGAGCATCCCAGACAAACCTTGTGCTTTGTGAGAACTGCAGTGTGTTTCTTTAGAGGGAAAGGTGTGCAGCGCGGCTCAAGAGCGAAACCGGGGCATCGGGACCTCGCGTGCCTGGCAGGACGGGACATGGGGGCTGGCGGGTATCAGGTGCCAGGTGTATGCAAGCGCTCCTCACCTGCGCCTCGGCTCCGTTGTAGGGGGTCAGCGTGTAAGTGCGGGTGCAGATGCGCAGCTGGGGCAAGAAGAAAGGCGACCGGTTAGTTTCCTGCTCCCGGGGCTGGAGGGAGAAGCCGTTCTAGAAAGGTACGGGGAATGCTGCCCCTCCACCTGACAGCTGGTCCCCGCCTGGCCTGGCACGCAGCCGCAGGCCCCCCCCCCCCCCCCGCCGCAGGGCCGCTGGTGCTGTGCGGACAGAATGACGCTTGGAAAACAGTCTCACGGGGACATAAATGCGACACAGGAACGGCAGCAGCAAAACGGTCAGAGCGGGCTGCGCTGTGAGTTCCTGTCTAAGAGCCCGGTCCATAAGCACGGCCCGCGAATCAGCCCTGCCCTCGCGCAAGCCCCCCGGGGCACCTCGCGGGACCCCCACTCACCAGCCACAAGAGGGGCAGAAGCAGCTTCCAAACCAAGGGGTGCAGGATCTCGTATGTCATGTTGGTCATCACAATGCCTGGACAGACGACACTCGAATACAGGCCCTGCTCAGGTGGGGGGGAGGGGGGCAGGAGTGAGTCCCGTGGCATTGCCTGAGGCCCGTCCCCTTCCCTGGGGGCCCCCGCTGCCACCACCCTGCAGCTAGAAACGCGCTTTCTCTGTTTCTGCTGCCACTGGTGGACGACCACGGGACGGCCCCCCACACCTGCTTGTTGAAGCGCTTGTTCAAAGCCACGCTGGCGAGGTCGGTGGCGTATTTGGAGGAGCTGTACGCCTCCTTGCCCAGCTGGTGCTGGAAGTCCTCGAGGCTGAAGTTTTTTTTGTGGGCATTGACTGAAGAGGTCCAGACCAGCTGGCAGGACTTTTCAACCGAGCAAAGCAGGGGCTCCAACTGCCGGATCTACAAAAACAGGGGGAAAGTATTTCATAAGTTTTCAGGGCCTCAAAACTCCAGACCCTGCATGCCCTCTAGAACGATTCGCAATACTGCCAACACTTCTGATTTATCAGTCCCGGGTAATCAGCAAAAAACAACCCCCCCCCCCATGCACTAGGGGTTATTGCGCACAAAGTCCATAGAGGGAACTACACCTGGCATGAAGCACACGGACTAAAAGGCACCCAACACCATCTATAAAACCGAACCCAAAATGCAGCAGTGTCCCGAGGTCTGGTCACAGTGAACCATTTCAATGCATTTTTTTCCTAAACCCGGAAGACTGTCTGGTAGGCACAAACTGCAGCCTTCAGCTTCCACAGTTGCATCAAGAAGCAAGCCTACGCGTGAGGCAGAAAGAGGCCCATGACTCCCAGCAAGCTCCTGCAGCCGTGCTGGATGTTGCTGCAGAGCTGATCCCACGTACAGTAAGCGAGGAAACAAATACTAGAATCACAGAATGGCAGAGCTGGAAGGGGCCTATGAGCTATTGAGTCCACCCCGCTGCTCAGCGCAGGATTCCAAGCTAAAGCGCCCCTCTCAGGTGGCTGCCCACCTGGGTCCCTGCCTCTGTTGCCGTTCTGCTCTAGCTGCCAGGAGGTTTTTCCTGACATCTCGCTGGAATCTGGCGTCCTGTAACTTGGACCAGTTATTCCGCGTCCTGCAGTCTGGGATGACTGAGCGGACATCTCAGCCCGCTGCGTGCGACCACCTTTCCAGTACCCGGGAGAGTGCGATCGCACCTCCCCGGCCTCTTCTGCTCGGGGCTCAGCTCTTTCCATCCCTCCTCACGAGGCTTCGTCCCCAGGCCCTGACCGCCCCCGTCGCCCTCCTCTGTGCCCTCCCAGCTCGCCCGCCCCTCCCTTCTTCAACCGTGGTGCCCAGAACTGGCCTCGCCGGTGCGCAGAGGGGAGCTGGCGCTTCCTGAGACCTGGAAGCGAGACTCCCCTGCGGGCAGCCTGGGCCAGCACGCGCCCTTTCGGCAGCCCCATCACACTGCTGCCTCCTATTCAGCTCGTGACCCACTCTTCCACGGCAGCACCGTTGAGCCCAGCCCTCCAGCCTGTCAAGATCATTCTGAACGTTGCTGCTGCCGGCCAGGGCCTTCGCAATCCTGCCCAATCACACCATCCAAGATTACCAGTCTGAGTGGGGAGAGAGGCTCAGAAAGCAGATTGCTCAGAGCCACATACACAGCCAGCCCCTGGAGGACAGGAGCCACCCCAGAGGAGCCTTGAACATGCCAGGACTAGGAGTGAGCAGGGGGGGCTTGCAAGCCCTACCCCAGGGCCGGGGAAAGGACAAGTGTTCTCGGCAGAATGCACTCGAGGCCCCTGCAGATCTTCGCACCCAAGCTGTGAAGGCATGCAGAGACGCCTGCCTGTGGGGGCAGAACTGAACCGCACCCTCTGCCTGCCAGGTGAACACGCAAACTGGGCGAGTGTTCTGGCAAGCAGGAAGGTTCCCACTGCACAGCAACACCCAGAACAGTCACACCATACTAGCAATTTGGAGGATATTCCAGGCCATGCCTTCCCTACCAGTATGAAATGTCCGAAGAAGTTGGTTTCAAAGACCTCCTGCAGGCCGTCCGGGCTGACCCTGTCCTCCTGGCTCATCAGCCCCTCCGCTGTGGTCAACATCCGGAACATTCGCCTGCAAACAGGACCAGAGGTTGTGGCTCATTCCGTAGGAGAGGACAGGACCCCTAGCCAACAAAAGCCACCATCCTGTTCCTTGCTGGAAGTATTTGTGTGGGCAGAGAAAGGTAACTGGGGGCAAGAAGGGGCACTCTTTCTTCTATAGGAAATGCCCTAACCTTTAACTGGTTTTTTTGTTTGGCACATCCCAAAGTCCTACTTCTTCAGCTGTGGTCCAGGAGGCATTCCTAACACCCACTGGGCCTTCAGGACTGAAGAGGAGGAAAAGCTGGCCGTCCAAGGAGTCCTTGGGCATTCCCGTTACATGCAGCAGCCGTTCGTTTTTAAAATTGCCAACTGAACCACTTATGCCTGCCTGCCCTTCCTAGGGGCAGCTGCCTGGCCACCACTGGAAGCAGGACGACAGACTCTGGGGCACTTCTTGTGCTCTCGTCAGTAACACGAGCAGGCACAGGGGACATCCTGCAGGCCCTCCCGCCGCGTCCAGAGCTTTCCTCTGCCTCGTAGCTGGGGCTGAACTTGGGAGGTGTTCAGGTGGTGCTCGGCCGTGTGAGGCTGCAGCACTGGCTGGGCAGCCCTCAGTCTGGAGGTGCGTCAGAGCCGCTGCTCTCAGATAAGGACGTCCACAACAGGGCCATGCCCGGGACTTTGGGGTAACGGTGGTGGAAGCAGCAGCGGGGAGCAGGCCCGAGGAAAGGGGAGCGGCTCGTGTCCCCTACAGCAGGCGTGAAGCTCGCTGCAATTGTGTGCAAGGGACGGGAACTGTGAAGGCGGAAGGGAGGCTGACGGGAGCTTGGGTGGGTGGCCCGCACAGCAGGGAGAGGTGGCCGCTGCCAGAGAGATCCAGGGGCGACAGCTATTTGGGGCAAGTAACGGTACCTGGTCGTGGGATCCTCGGCAACAAAATGTGGGAAATCTACCTTGCAGACTCATTGTCGGGACAAACAAGACGGAGATGTGAACCACTTTATGCAAATAAAGCTTTCTATATAAACTCAAGGCAAAATGTAGTTCCCGTGTCACATATGAAGTAGAACATACTGGGAAAAAGAGGACTCTGCTTCATTTTGTTCCACTTGAGGATGTTCCATCACTGAAGCTAGACAGGTTTGGGCCTGGTCAGTATTTGGATGGGAGACCACCTGGGCACCCCCCGTGTGCTGCTTTGAATTCCTTAGAGGAAGAGCAGGATACAAGTATAAATAAAATAGCCAGTTGTTAGGTAACAGATTAGATTTCAATTCACTTCTGGATTCTCCCCTGGAAACTCTGACTCAATGCATTGCTTGGTCTAACAAAGGAGGCACAGAAGAACGCACATTCCAGAAAACAGAAATATTTTCATTCTAACACGATGGTGTCCTCACAAGGAGGGAAAGGGAAAGGGAAAGTGAAAGAGAAAGGATGTACAGAATGGACTTCACAAAAGGCAAAGGACATGAAGACTTTGCAGCTTGGATAACGGAAGACCCACAACATTGCATGCAGTTAGGGAGATCACAAAGTTAGGAATGCCCACACCATTGACAATTTTCTATAAGGAGGGATTTCAGACAGGTTAGAAAAGGAACAATGCCCCCCCACTTTATCAAGAGGGACAGGTGCTTCCTTCTGACCTTGCACCCGATCACCCCTCAGAGGACGGCTCCAGGGCACACTTCTCTCAAGCCCACGGGAACCTGATAGACTGCAGAGGCTACGAAGCGGTACATTTGCTGGCCACGTGGTTACAGAGGCGCCACGGCGAAGAATGCGGCACTCATTCAAGGAGCCAAGCAATGAAACCAACACGGAAGCATTTCCATCATAATTTTCAGGAATGTTGCTCAAGGTCTGATTCACATTTTTGACATTAATGTTTTTATTTACAGAGTGCTTCAGAGGAAGGAATTAAAATAAAGAACCACTCAGTAGATTAAATTAAGGGCAAAGCCTTGCAGGTTCACACTCCAAAGAGATGTAAGTAAAACACCGGGGGGGGGGGAATGTGGGGGGAGGCAGCACAAAAGAACAGCGGGTCCAAGTGCGGGAGGAAATACAGATGCTCCCAAATAAGTATTAGCAAATAAAATAAACAGTAAAAAGGTATTTAAGGAAGGCGCAACATTCTACAGCAGACAGATGGGGACAGAGAAGAAGCAGAACTGCTCAGGCGAGCGAGACCTCAGGACGTGAAGGGGCAGCAAGGGAAAGAGGTGAACGGAGGGCCTCGGCCAGCGAGAGGCGACTGTGAAAGGGAGACCGTGAAACGGAGAGAGGAAACATGACCCACGATTTATTGAGATACAGATATTGCACCAGCACTGCGATACGCCAGAAAACACACACACTTCCCAGGGAGTTTTCTCGTGCCCCCAACTCTCCTGAAAGGGCAGGTGCACCACAAATGTCACACTGTTCAGCAGAACCTAAAGAAATTAAGTTAGGAGCACTGCGAACTCCAGCACAGCAACTATAGCGAGCAGCCAATGTCCTGTGCACCATGCCATGCGTGCTGATGCAGAAGGAAGCCCTACAGCTCCCAGCATCCCCAGACCAGCCGCGCTGGGAGCTGCAGGAATTTTGCACCGTATAAAGGCAGCGTTCGGCATCCCAGCCGATCGCCCACCCAGTTGGAAATTGGGTAGGTCTAGCTAGCTAGACCTCCGTAAGACGAGACATACTGGACTCATCCGGCTGTACGTTCAGAGGCAGTCCTGAACACTTTTCCTAAGAGCTATAACGAAAACTGTCTCAGGAAGCAAAGCCTGATCAGTCTGGGAGTGTTTTGCACGGTCCCTGCCGACCTGCGGCAGGTTGTTAAAAACAACAAAGACAAGCAAGTTTATGTTTGTGTGACCTTTCATGGATTAGAATCTACTTGGTAACCCTGGTGAAGTGAACTATAATTCATAAATGCTTATACTTTAACAGAATTGATCATGTTTGAACTGTGCCAACATTCTTCCCTTTTTTTCAGAACAGAACCACCTGGCTGACCCTCTAAACATGATGCCTGTGTATGTATGCCAGATAAATAGCAATGTAAAATGAACAGGTATGTAAGTCCAGGGCCAGCTCAGACACAGCCGTGTTGATGGCGGCAGTGGCTGGGGGTCCGCTTCGGCCATCAAAGCCCTTTCAGAGAGCACGGCCTTTTTGGCCCTTTGGCTTTTTTGAGGGTGGGTGGGAACCGTGATCTCCGATTTGACAGACAGCTGTCAGTCAGTTGGACAACCTGTGGCACCCCCTTCAAAGCACCCAAGCTGCACCCTGGAAGCAGTGTCCATGGTTGCAGACCATTCCTAAAATGCTTCGGACCCATTAATGCATGCCAGTATTTGTTTAATGATCTTTTCCAGTCTTTACATGCCTAATGGGTCAGAAAACGGACAGCCTCTCTCACCCCATGGAGGGGAAGGAGGGAGCAAACAGCCCACAGCACATCTGCAGATCTGTCCCATGTTCCCTGCGTTGCTGGCCCGGTGGGATAGCAGGACTCACGGCTGCACTCGCTGTCTGTGCTTTGTATGAGTTGTGTCCAGACTACTCAGGTCCACTGCTGGTCCTTCTCCAAACAAGCCAGAATCGTAACTCATGATTTGTTCTTGCTCATTATTCTGGCTTATCAAGAGAACAAAAGCAATCAAGCAGTGCGGACAAGAGCAGTTGGCGGATCTCAGGAAGCCTCCATCCTGCGCAAACTTGTTCTGCAGTGCTCTTATTCAAGCACTAAACATGAAACAGCAGAGCCTTCCTTATCAGAGGGGAAGCCGCTCAGGCAGACAAAATCAGGAAGCTTGTAGGGACGTGAGCTGGCAAATGGAGAAATCGGGCAGGAATTGGCCCCCGTTTAACATCTTTTTGCTCCTCCAACATCACCTAATAAAATCCAGCTCTGCAACAGCGAAAGTCAGAAGGTTACTTTAAAACACACGCCTTCAGATTCCTAATACAAGCCTGCAGGCTGTACTTTCTGGCAGTATGACATGAGAAAGGGGCAGCAGAAAAACAAGAAGGCCACTTTGAGTCAGATTTTGATCTCTGCGCACAGAAAGTATCCAATTGCCGCATTCTGTCTTGGAGGAAAAGGGTTTGTGCCTGCCATGTGGGCTCGGGTTTCTAACAGAGCAGATTATCGCCATGCGTGAACAGTAAGGCCAGGTCTTTGATCTCCCTCGGGGACCCTGTGGATGTACTCTTCTCCATACACACCTCCACTGAACCCTCCCCTCCCATCAGCAGTCAGGCTGAAAATGCACAGCACCTGACTGGTTAAGAGACGATACCTGGAGAAGATGCCACGCAGAAATGCCCAGAAACTGATACGGGGCTTTACCATGATCCCAGCGTTCAAGAAGAGATAGTCCAAACGGTGAAATCTACACAATGAAGTAACAGCCGGTTATTGGAAGAAGCAAAAGACAGCCCTGAACACTGGAAGCTGGACCTGTTCATGCCCCCATGTCTTCCTTGGGCAGAATGTTTGGGGCCGATTTGCTGAACCAAGTGAGCAAGCTTCCCTTGAACAGCATCGTTTCAGGATGCAGGCAAAGGGCTACATGCGAGAATAGTCTTCCATGGCCACAAGGAGAAGAAGCCTTCTCAGCCACAAGACTTGCACATCGGGAGATCAGACTGTTTCCAGTAGTATGCTAGCTTTCTATTTGCAAAGCATTTCTTCTCATAGTTGAATATTTAAACATTCATCCCTGAACATGCTGAGTTCAGTAAAAGTTTGACTACTTGACTGAGCCGACTGGACAAACTGACTCTTAAACATGGTATATCCCACAATCATTCTTACAACAATACATATGTCTAATGCAGGGAATAAGTCCCTTATTTGGAGCCCCGTGGAAGTCCTGGTATTTCTCCCTGAAGAATCTGGGATATATGTTAGGGCAATGTTAACAGCGCCCACGCTAAGGTCTGAAATGTGTGGGGCTCACAAAGGGCACCTCTGAAGTGTTGCCAAGGGCTCCCAAAATTGCTCTGAGCAATGACATGAGATATTTTCTGAGATACTGACTTGCTTGTCTCCAGAGGCCACTGCCCAATAGGAGGTGTAATTCTGCTTTTGTATTTTTCCAAGTGACTGTTTATTTTCATATAAAAGTTTCTGTTCTGCTTTGGAGGGGTTACAACCTTTCTGGATGTGTTCAGAGCTGCTCTCTCCTGCCACTAAGCAAGGTCTGATGGGTTGCATCTAACAAAACTGGACTGCATCTCAACAAAATGGAGATTTCTTGCTGTTGAGGGTGGTTTTTTGTTCATCCCCCAAAATTACAGTTATTGAAGATGATGTTTGTTAATAATTTGTATATACTTCTTACACTGAGGGAAAACAAAACCACCAGGGCATAAGTCATTGTACCATACAGGTACCAACCAGCCTAGGTTACGAATTGTGTCCGGGAAAAAGTGGACAAAGGCGAAGGGGCGAGAAGCACATGCAGAAAGAGTTGGTCTTTTCCAAGGAGTCCAAGAATTTTTGGAAAATCATGGTTTTCCTTAGCCTCCCCCCTTTTTTTCCTCCTCTGTTTTTATCCTCCAGGCTTTCATAACTCAGTTCACAATTACAGCAGAATTAGATGTGATTGCAGACACTGGTCTGAGGACATGGGTCACTCGCCCAAACTCAGCAAAGCCTTTTAACCCTTCCCCTGCAACATACTCCTCCAACAACAATTTTCTCCGTTTGTGTGTTTGCAGGGGAAATAATGGAAACTGTAAAAATTAATCACATGCTCTCCTATCAATTTAAGGTTGATTGACACCCCCTGGCATTTCTGGACATGCATCTGTCCTGCAGAATGTCTAGCTGTGCCTTAAGCTCTTTCAAGCAATCTACTTTTCCAGAGTTAATCAAGGCGAAGATCATATTGCAAAAACCTATACATTTGGCATGCTCTGGAAAGCCGTGGGTCTGAGAAGAGGGCAGAGAGGGGAGGGGTTGGGGGGCAACTCGGGGTGAGGGGCATAGAGCAGGAGGAGGAGGGAGGGATGGGGTGAGGGAGGTCTGGGGCAAGAAGGGCTGTGTGAAGGCAGGAGGGGGAGTGGGGTGAGGGAAATGGGCCATGGTGTGTTAAGGAAAAGGACTGGAGCAAGGGAGGGGTAGAGCATAGGTATATGCGGCAGAGGGGCTCTGTGGGGTATGGGAGAGGAAGGGACATAGGGCAGGAACAGCATGGGGTGAGGAGACGGATCACAGGCATTATGGACCGTGGGGTGTGTGGGGATAAAGCGGTATGGGGCAGAAGGGTTGGGGGAAGTGAGGAACTTGGGGCAGGGACAAAGGCAGGCAAAGGAAGGTGTGGGGCGGGAGAGGTGAGAGAAAAGGATATCCTTGGCGGATGCTGATGACAAACGTGCGGCCTCTTGGGGCAAGGGGGAAAAGAGGGCTCTGCGGGTAAACAACACTGTGGGGTTCGGACAGCTTCTGCCTGGCTTGGGAGTCCCACCCTCTGTCTGGAAAATGTCCAGCCCTAATGGGGGAGAGGGGAAGCCACTCTGCACATGCGCTGCAGTCTTGCTTCCCAGGCGCCAGACCGAGGCTGTGCCAACGTGCCTGAGAGCAGGTGGGAGTCCGACAGCTCGAATGTGGAAGTGCAAGGAAGCCTGAGCTGTGGGGAGAGGGGAGGAAAGGAAGGGCTCTCGCGGGGAGAGAAATTCCCAGTGTGGAGAAAAGTGCAAGGCAGTGGTAATTCTAAGGCAGTTGTGAACCACCCGGAGAGCTTCAGCTACGGGGCAGTACAGACATAAACATAACCATGATAATAAGGGCCACCCGGAGGAAGGCGAATGAGGGAGCCACCCCATAAACAGGCAGCCCATTTGGTGGTCCAGGCTGCACCTCCACCCCCCCCAGCAGTCCGCCCCTACCCCATACCTGGTCTTGATCTCTGCGGCTGCACGCAGGACAGATTCCAGCGTGCCAACATCTATCTGAATGATGCTGATGTCTGCACAGGGGAAGGAGGACAGCAGTTCACTGCGGGTGGCAGCAGCCTTCTCCACGTTCCTGCAGGCCAAGCACACGTGGAGGCCAGTGTCTTCCTCGAGCAGACGCCTGCACAGCGCGGAACCGATTCCACTGCAACAGCAACAAAGTGCCGTCAAGGCCCTCCGTGGGGCGGCAGCGCCACACCCCACGCGGCACGCTCGGCGTGTGCCGGCCCCTCCAAAGAGCCCCCGATGCGAGCAGAGCTGGCGGGGAAGCGACAACGCGCACTCGCTCCGTGGGAAACAGAGGCAGGCCCCTTCAGCGCCGTGCTGCCGCTTGCTTCCCGGTTCCACGTCCAGCAGGCAGATGACAGCCGGGCGTTCTGGGGAACCGTGGGGGATCCCCATAAGGCGTTCTCCCACCCGAGACTCTTGCCGGGCTTCCCTCGCTAACAGGAAGGTCGCAGTGCCTTCCACAAGTCAAGGAGCTGCTGCAAGTTGCTGCTATCCTGACTTACACGGTCAGCTCACCAGGTACCCCGTGGCCCAGCGGGCACTTGCCTCTTCTCGGCGTGAAGACCCCCACCCCTTGGACCAGCTCTGTTCGCCTGATCAGCCCCAGTCTTACTCCTGTGATGTGGAGCCTGTGGCTTCCCCCTTGATTGGGGGGGGGGGTGCAGAAGGCCAGCTGACGGCAGCAACTCAATCGGTATTTAAGATTAAAAACCCCCGAGCCCCAGTGCCACTCAACTGCTTCATCCGCCTCCCCTGCACTCTTTCCACCCTGATGTCACAATGAGCAACGCTTTCACACATGCAATGCCAGTGCACAGGGGGGCAGAGGCGAGTGAGAGGAAGACAATAAACCAACAGAGTGACAGCTGTTATGCGCCGAGGGTTGCATATCGCAGGTACTCTCCCCCGCAGAAAGCAAAAGATGTGGGGAAGGCACAAGCTGCAGGGAAAAGAGCTTGGAGCGCAGCTTGTCTCTCGACTTCTGGCCCTTCACCCCCTGGTCCCCCTAAGTTTCTATTCATTTGCTTATTCTATATCCCGCTCTTTTTTTCTTTTAAAGAACACAAAGTGGCTTACATCCTCCTCCTCCTCCTGCTCACAACCCTGTGAGGTAGGTTGGGCTGAGAGTCTGTGCCTGGCTCAAAGGCACCCAGTTGGCTCCATGGCTGCGCAAGAGCAAACCTCATCCTTTAATTAGGCACAGCGAGGAAGGGCTTCCCTTCTGGCCACGACTGGGTCACCGTACGGGGTGAGCACAGCCTCTCTTCTTCGCAAGTGCCAGGCATCTGCCTCCCAACAGGTCATAAGGGGCATCTCGGGCTGCGGCGTGTCCCCAAATCTCAGGCACATCCTGACCCAGCAACCAGCCGGCTCAGGACCTCTCCCTGCCCTGCCGGGCTTCCAGCACATTACAGCAACGCCTCCTCCGCGGCCCTTCGTCCCGCCCACGGAGGGGCGCTGACACCGAGCGGCGAGCACCGCGACCTCCCGAACGCCCCGGGGCGCCTGCACCGCCTGCATGCCCGTCCGGCCCCCGCTCCGTTGCAGTCCCTCGCCCTCGCTGCGAGGCAGGCGAGGCTGAGGCGCTCCGTGGCCCAGCGGGACGAGAGGCCGGGGCCCCGTGCGGCCGGCGCCCAGGAAGCGGGGAGCAGCTCCCCTGCCCACGCCGCGCGCGCTGGCCTGCCCCGCACGGGCTGCCTCCCGCCCGCCCGCCCGCCTACCTGCTGGCGCCGGTGACCACGGCCACCCTCTGCATGGCGGCGGCGGGACCGGCGGGACGACGAGCCGGGCGCGCGAGTGCCACCACACTTAGCGCCTCGCGTGGCCCCGCCCCTAGCAACCCGGCCGGGCAACGCAGCCGCCCCGCCCTTCCCGCGCGGGTCGGCCCGCCCAATCAGCGCCTCGGCCGCCTCGAGAGCCGCGGCGGCGTGAGCGTTGCCCCACCGTGACGCCGGCGGGGCGGGCTCGGCTCAGCCACTCAGGTCGCGGGCCCGCCCACCCGCGCCGCTCATTGGTCGGCTCGCTGGGCTCGTGCGCATGAGAGCCGCCGTGGCCGCGAGCTGGGCTCTGTCTCCGGTCACGGACTCGCGGGCCAGCCTACCTCGCGGGGTTGTTGTTGTGGGAATAGGAGGGAGCGCTGGCGGCGGGTGCCTGCCGTCTTTTGCGCAGTAGCTCTGTGCAAATGGCCGGCCGGGGGAGCTGATGTAATCACAGGTATGTCATAACTTGTTTCTAATAGGAGTGTACATTAAAGGCAAGCCAAGATCCCTGTCAGTATCCATGCATGGATGCCTGCTCATTTCTACCTGCTGAAGAGAGTCAACTGAGGATCAGTCCCTGCTGGGTGTCTCCTTAAATCAAGGATTTGTTGTAAAACTCCAGTCTGCTCACACTGACTTGTGTGTTAAAGTGCGTGGACAATTAAGTAGAAGACACACACCCATTGATTCACACACCAGACATCAAATACTGGGGGAAAGTGGGCATCCCTGTCCCGAACTTCTCTCCAGTAAGAGAAAAACACATCATCAGCTGTAACTAGTTTGTGATTTGAATATAGAATTTGAATCCCTTTCAAGAATTCTGCTGGAAGAGCTGCTCAGAGCTGCAAAAGTACATTACCTGTAATGTTTTAAATGAAAGACCTTTTCTGCATCCAGAGCATCTGTGTTATCTAAATGCAGGTTTAAGCAATGATGAGAGGGAACCCAATGAAAAAAAACACTCATAAGGACAAGAGCTAGAAGACTCACAATAGAGTTGTATGCCTCACTTTTATTATTTTGTCAATACTTAAGGGAGCCAAAAGAGAAGTCTAAACTTCTCTTGGGAGAAGTCTAAACATGGGAAGCATGTGTCTGTATTGTGTTCCAACGTTTTCCTGCCCGTGCTGTACAAATCAGCAGGTTTTTTTAAAGATTACTGATGTATCTCTCTCAGTGGGAAGTGCATCTCCTCCTTAATAGCTGAAATAACTTTTTATTGATTTGGCTCCTTTGCCTGCCCGCTCGCTGATGCTCATCTTGTACCAGAGCCATCAATCCCAGTCAGAAACCAACCATCGCCCTGTCAAAAAACTCTTTGTAAAGCACAGGTGCTCAAACTACTGCCCGGGGGACGGATCCAGCCCACCATGCCCATTTGGACCCACCACTGCCCACCTCGCCCCGCGCCCGGGGAGGCAGCGGTTTGCGCGCTCGGAGAAAACGATCTCCACGTGAGCAAGGCGCTGCCTCGTGCCCCCCTCGCGGAGCGTGCCCGCCCTCCCCTCCCCTCGCCAGGTGCGCCCACCCAGCCCCGCCGGCACCACTGGCCCCGATGAAAAAGTTGGGGGACCCCTGTTGTAAGGAGGCCAGGGTTTTGGATAGCTCGCTGACAGAAATCCTTTTCTCTACTGAAAGCAGGTGCCCTTTTGCAAATTCCTGTGAACCCAGAGGCACAGGGAAAAGCGCGGAATGTGTCCTGGGATATGGACTAAGCCGGCAGGGGGCGTGAAGATCTTTCCATGAAGAAAGCGTGAATCCCAGAACATGCCTTTTTTGTGCAAAGATCCCTCCTGCCATTAGTTCCTGTTGACTGCTCATTTTTTACCATTGCCAAGAGAAACCAAAGAAGGGGGGAACAATTTATTTCATTTTTATACTGCCCCACTGCTGAAGCTCTCAGTCCATAAAAACAGATGATAAAAATACAAGAAAACTATCATAAAATCAGAGAAATATTAAAAAGTTTTAAACAGCTCAACAGATAATAAAAACAGACAAGGAATAACAAGGGAGGGGGGAAAGAAAGGAGCAACTCTGACCCCTCAAGCACATCTTCAAAAGCCTCCGAAAAGATGGCTGCCGTAACCTGGCACCGAAAAGCTGACAGATTCGGCGCAGCTGGTCTAGGCTGGATTCCTGCTGCAGACTGGCACATGCCCAGGACTGTGCAACGGTGGCTGTCAGAACAGTCCTGCGATCTCTGAAAGTGGAGGAGGAAAGAAAGAAGCCGTGGGGGGCCCAGAGGGGCTCCTAAGTGCAGTGGGGAGCCCCGTGTGCATTTCGGGGGTGGCTGGCACTGAAGGTTGCCTGGGAGTGGCTTCCCACTCTTGCTCCCCAGCCAGCTCCCTGCGCCCACCACGAGGTTGTTGCCCAGGTGCGGACAACATGAAAACCCATGGTGGGTACCGCAACCCACACTACAGCCTGTAGGCTGTTGGGTGGTTGGCTGCCCACGAACAACCCCCTTGAGGAAGTTGGTCCGGCAACACACGGCGTGTTGTGATGCGACACGAGCCCAGCCCGTGTAGCAGCATGTTGAATTTCTCAGCACTAAACCAGTTGTGCTTCCTGCAGAACAAGCACCTATAAAACACCCTTCCAATCAGATGTTGAAGGGGGAAGAAGTAAATGGTCACGACGTCTTTTTGATTCACGTGCATGCATATATTTGGACGAACACTGGAGTCGAGATACATTCACCTTCCCGTATTTGATTTATATATTTCATAGCACTTTGAATACTTTAATAGAAAAGCGTTTTTAAATGGTTGGAATAAACACATCTTCTTATCCCCTCCTAACTGCGCCATTTCCCCTGAAGTACATCACCTTCCTTCTTTCTAAAGGAAAAGTGCTGTGAGCAAGGGGGTCTTCCTGACTGCAGGGCATCCATACGGGATCGTGACCCCCCAGCGCTGGGGAAACACGGCTGGCCCCACAAGCCGTCAACAAGCCCTCACGTTCCTTGAAGTTCTTAACCGGCGGCCAGTTCTTTGTTCCAGTTTCTCCGATAGTCTCCTCTTTTCCTCTGGACGGAACCCTTTGATTCTTCCTGTCATCATGGAAGGATCCGTCTCCCCCACTTCCTTCTGGGGAGGGTGAGAAGCCAAACCAAGTTCCATTGCAGCCATTCGGCTATGCAGACTGTCCAAAGTATCCACTAACCAAACTGACCACCCTCCACTTTCAGTACAGAAGCAGGAAGGTGGTTGTATACTTTTTAAATATTCTTATTTACACCTCAATCATCGTACAGGGAATACAGTTCAATGGTGCCTTACAAAGAATAAATAAAGAAAAATATACATAGGTCTTTAAATCTCCATTTCAAAATACAGAGCCGTTTTTGAATGAGTACTGCAATTGCAAACCATAATACACAACCTGGCATTTATATTTTCTAAGGAGGAAAGGAACACTGTTTCTCAGTATCTGCTTATATTATCGCTTGCAAGTTAACAGAGACTGCAACCCTAAACTCACCTAAGTGGCAGTGCGTCGCCTATCATATCGGGGGCTTATTTCTAAGGAGATGTAAATAGGACAGCACTGCCCAAACATCTTGGATAAAGGCACTCTGCATTTAGGCGAAGAGTACAACTAAAAGACAAGTAATACTGTTACAAGCAAGAAACATACAATATATTATAAAATGGGGCAGGATCCAAAGGATCTGCAACTAGTTCTGTACCCATGGAGGTGTTTGAGCCGCCTGCCTGTCCCATGTTCACCTGGCCTGCATGACAAATCACTTTTGAATTGGGAGTGAAGTTTAAAAGCAGTTTGCAACCTGGCCCAGGAGGACTTTTCCTGGTCTGGTGGCTCCCGGATCTGCTGGAATCCGACTCCCATCCTCCCCAGGCAGCATGGCCTAGCACTGGCTGGAAATGGCGAATCATCCCGTCGAAGGATGGCGTGGGAGGGAATGATTTGCAGGTCAAAAGAAGAGGCAGTCGGGGTTCCACACACAGGTGAAGCCCAATCCCTTGGGCACACTGGAAACACCCTTTGGGTGGTGGCCTCATCCATAAGGCCAGCCAGCCATGTGGGGAAATGTGTGGCACGTTCTGCTAGGAGCATTATTAGCAATCGGTTCAGTTTCGCCACCAATATTCTCAGCTTCAGAGGTTCCCTAGGTTGTTTTTGAGGCTCATATTCTAGGGTTTGCAACAGCAACAATACGGTATCAGACCCCACATTCCATGCAGTTTGATTTCAGGATTTTGAAACAACGCACGGTGACTTGCTCCTCAAGTCAGTCTGCAGCAGAGGGATGCAAAGCTACTAACGCAACGCCAATTTTGAAAAGGGAGCCAAAAGACACCGAGAGGCCAAATAACTTAATGTTTGTTCTAGGCAAACTTAATTAAATGATAAATGATAAATTAATTAAATGATAACAAAAGGAAACTGGGCAGCCCTCTGAGTGGGACGATGTGACGTGGTGTCCTGCAGCAGCAGCGGGTTGGACCCAAGGGCCTTCGTGGCCCCTTCAGCACAAGGAGCCAGGCCTTGCTGAAGAAGGGACAACATGGCTCCCACAGCAGTAAATCCCGTCCTACTAAGCTTTTAGAATTCTTCGTGTCGACAAGCTGCGAGTCGCTGCTTCTCTGCAACATGCATCAAGATTGCGTTATCTGTTCTACAGATCAAGTCGGGTAATTAATTGCTTTTGCCCAGTCTATTTTGAGGATATGTGGAGTTGTAACAGGGATAGCTGGAGCCACTTTTGGGGCCCAACCTGGGAAAGATGCTGGCAGCCTTGCTTGTGGTCTGATTGGCCATCCTACTCATGTGTAAAGGAGTTGGTGCTGTCTTATTTTGTCAAAAGAGGTACCTCGGTGCACACATTGTTATTTTGCCCTATTTAATTGTCCAAACTTCTCCGCCCTCCCTCAGGCTAGCCTAGCTCTGATTCCCAAAGTGGGGTATGCCTATCTAGTTGGTGGCATGAAATGCGTACATTTGATTGCTGAATAAAAATGGCTAAAAGTGCATCTCAAAGGAGCAAAAAATAAGATACACGCATGCCGAATGCTGCCGAACCAGAAAGCGCAAAGCACATAGAAGCAAGCTAGCTGACTGTGTGGGCTTCTACGTCCAACACTCGCATCTCCCGGAGCGAATAGGACAGGCCTCTGAAGGCCTGAAGACACACACCCTGGCTAGTGAGGCTCCCTCGTCTTCGCTCTTGGCCCACGTTCGAAGGAAAAGACAGGGAGAGTGGCAATGAAGTTTCGCAAGCATGATTTAAGGCTCTCTCCAGGATGGATTCCAAGGAAGCGAAGAGGGAGGCCAAGAGGAGGGATGGAGAGCCGGTGCTCCACCAGCTTTTCCAAAACCCGTGAGCATGCTTGTTAAAACTGGGCACCAAGGCTCTCCTATCTGGGGGATGGGGGAAGGCACGTCTCCCGTCTCTCCACCCAGTCCAAACATACACCAGACTGACCTTGGCATGTCAGGCAGCTGCCTGCCTTTCTCTCTTACCGACTTTCTTATCTTTGAGAAGCGTGCTTTAGCGCTTTCGTTCCCAGATGAATTTCAATACCACCGAGATCATTTGGCCGCTGGTCAAGACCCACGGGCGAGTCCCAAGCTCACAATCTGCAAAATCTGGTCATCCATCCACCCAGTATTACACGCTCCATTTTCCTGCAACGCATTCGAGGCTCTGAAGTGCCCCTGCAAAGCACAGTGGAGGTACAACTCGAGGATCCTCACGTATGGGACGACGGGGCCCCACAGACCTGCCTCACTAAGAGCAGCGCTTTCCTATTCATTAAATAAAGGGGCGCTCGACCCACTGAGAATTTCCTTGAGGCACCGGGGATCTCGAACCGGGAACCATGGCGGTGGGACGGATCCAGGCACGAGGCCCGCTGCGGCATGCCACTCTCGCCAGGGGAGGGATCCCGTCTGCGCTGGGCTTGGATGGCGGACGGCCAGTGAGTCACATGACGCAAAGGGCGGCAAGGACTCCACTGGTCCTATAAAACGTACTCATGGAGCCTGGATCCCTTGGCCTAAGGGCCAAATCATCTGGGCCAGAGCAGCCAAGTTCCTTAATTCACTTTCTCTTTCCATATGTAAAGTGCTAGTGATGTGCGG